TTTGCATGTGGAAACAATCTCTAGTGCCTGGAGAAGTCTCTTACCTGAATCCATGGAGCGGTGGCGTAGCGTGGGGCAGTTGCCCCGTGGGCACTAAATGGTATGGGGCGCAAAATTTCAACACCTGATACTGCCCTCAATACATATGTGTTGAATATGTGTGCCTCCATCTCTGGAAAACGGTTTCTCCATGTGAACCAGGAAGTGAGACCATGGAAGGACTCTTCTTTTCTTATCTCTATGGCTGCAAAGTCCTGTGTTACGCAGGTGCCGCTAAACAGTTGAATGCGCATGCGTACTCCATCTGTTTCCCTCCCACCCACCTGGGTGCAGCCTGGCCACTGGCAACCCCAGCTATGCCACTGCCACGGACAGCACGAGACAGTTTTATTCTCGGAGACCATGCAGAGAGGGAAGAGTGGTTTTTATTCCATATAAGGCAGCTTTCTATACTCTTCCCCGCCCTTGACTACTGTCGTGACTCAGGAAATCGGTGCTTTTGACTGCCTTGAGATTTTAAAGTAACGTACTGGCAGGAAGAAGAAACTGCTGCCCCAAGCAGCAGCAGTAGTCTAGGGCCAACGAGTGCTAAGAGAGGTTCTACCTTGACCCCATTCTTTCCCCTTTATAGAAGACTTAGCTACTCTTAAGGTTTATCCACACTTACCAGACAGAGAGCCTTCTCAGCAGTGGCTCCCTCCTTCCCATCAGATCTCAAAGAAATAAAGAACTACGCAACTTTTAGAAGACATCTGAAGGTAGCCTTGTATTGGGAAGATTTTAATGCTTGGTGTTTTATTATGTTTTTATATGTGTTGGAAACCACCCGGAGTAGGCTGGACAACCCAGCTAGATGGGTGGGGTATAAATAACAAAATTGTTGTTGTTACCTTTCGCCACACTCCTTCCAGGCAGAGGTCTATGGTGTCTGAGCCTGGTTTGTTTTTTTGGTTTTTTTGCCCCAAATTTCTCCCGCAAAAACCTGCTCTTTAAAGCAGAATTGGAGCAAATGTCAGTTTGGTTTTTCCACAGATTGATGTTTACTCTGGTTGGAGTGGGTTTCCACAGGGAAAGCTCCAGAGCAGAAATGAAAAATAAAAAAATTGGGTGCTCGGACAAAGAGCTTTAAAATACAGACTATTACTGGAAAGAGCAGGCAAAAGTTAAGTATGGATAAGTCCTTACTCTCTTCCTGCTGCATCCCCCCCTGCTCTTCAGTGCTCAATCGGAGCAAACAGCAATTCGAGTTTTCTCCGGATTGCCATTTGTTCCAATCTATCGCTAAAGAGCGGGTTTTCCCCTTAGAAAGGAATGGGGCAAAGGGGAAACAGCTCGGACCCCTGCTTTCTATGCACGGCACAAGCGGAAGTGTGGACGAACCCCAAAAGGCTTTCAATGACCCTGCCAAAGTTGACAGCAGGGCAAAGGTCTGGATAGAGTCGCAAACGCCTTTAACAGCCCATGCTCCTGTGCCTTTCGCAATAGTTTGATCTGCGGGCATTTGCAGGTGATAGTGCTCATCTCCATACACCGGAAAACTTGACCAGCTCATTTCTGTGCTGATTTCCACAACAGCAGGTCAGGAAGTTGTTGTTCATGTATTCCTGGTCCATGGGCAACCCTAGTTTAAAGAGAGGGTGCTTGTCCCAATTCTGAGTACAGGGATCTTGCTGTTTTGCTGATTTCTCTGTACCTGAAGCTGCGTCTGTGTGTATATCACTCTGGCCTCCCAGGCACAAATCCACAGATTAGCTGCCCTACGCCCTGCAAACCCGACAGTGCTTTCATCCCCAAATCGCCCTGCCTGCATTCCCCAAATTCTGTGGGTTTAAAGGCTGCTGCCCCAGACCCACTGAACTGCAGTACAGATCCCTCTAACAATGAGACATTAGATCTACTGGGGCTCTATGGGCCCAGTCCCTTCATTAGGCAACAGAGGCCGTATCCTGTCTGTGCAAGAGCAACAGGGATGCAGATTGAAGCTTAATAGGGACCGGAAGTGGGTCATGGGTGCTGTTGTGAAAGAAGCAGCTCGTTCAGGTGAACTTTCCTGGTCTACATTCAGTTGCACCTCTGCTACCAAGACACCCCTAGCAGTCCTCACTTCTCCCAGCATGTTTCCAAGCACAATTCAAAGTGTTGGTGCTGACCTTTAAAGCCCTAAACGGCATCGGCCCTGTATACCTGAAGGAGCATCTCCACCCCCATCATCCAGCCCGGACACTGAGGTCCAGCTCCGAGGGCCTTCTGACAGTTCCCTCACTGCGAGAAGTGAAGTTACAGGGAACCAGGCAGAGGGCCTTCTCAGTAGTGGCACCCGCCCTGTGGAACGCCCTCCCACCAGATGTCAAAGGAAAAAACAACTACCAGACTTTTAGAAGGCATATGAAGGCATCCCTGTTTAGCGAAGCTTTTAATATCTGAAGGACTGTTGTATTTTAATATTTTGTTGGAAGCCGCCCAGAGTGGCTGGAAACCCAGCCAGATGGGCGGGGTATAAATAAATTATTATTATTATTATTATTATTATTAAACTTTTGAAAACACATACACATTTCACATCACAAGTTCGATGCGCAATTTGCATGCATATGAAACGATAAATCGACGTGCATGGATGCAGAGAGCATCACTCTCAACCATACGCCCTGTTTGTTGACGCTAGAAACCGCCCTGCCAATAAACCATTTTAGAAAATCGGAATTGTAACACGACACTGGCCCCGTGGGTCATTGAGGCTGGCTTTGCGAGTAAAGAGGAGCTGTTTGAACTATTAAGTTTCAGCGGTTGAGTGGAAAGCAGTCTGAAGGCTCCCTTGCCAGCACAGCTTCCCCTCTGACCATCTCTGATCCCCGGGACAGCCAACAAGGCGCCCTCCAGCTCCCCTCCGCCCCAGCCAGCATGGCCAGTGGTCAGGGATGGTGGGAGTTATAGGTCAGCAAAACTTGAGAGTTCACCATGTTAGCTACCAGATGCCTCCAAGCAGCCGCAAACAGAGCTGGAAGGCATGTTTGCTCCATGGCAGAAAGAAAGGTGGGATATTGCTATGTGAATTATTTCCGTTTGTATTGCAACATTCAGCGCTCCGAAAAAGGCGTAGAGGATTCTTGGCTTCCGAGTTATGCCAACTGCTTGCCTGCAAAGGGAAATACCAGTTGGCAGTTGACCCTGCAGGTGCAAATGTATCTATCGGCGGAGGGAGGGTCCGTGTGTGTTCTTCTGCTGCCCAGTTCATGCATCTCTTTGCGGAAAGTTTGTTTACCAGAATTCTTGCTCGGATTATGCATAGCGGTGACCTTGAGAAAGCCTTCTCTCATCTAATGATAAGTTTGCAACATGCAGAGCTACTCCTGTTTGTGATGGCTGCTTGAAAAAAAGTAAGCAAAGCTTTGCCCAGTATAATAAACACAGTTGTTTTTCCATTAAAAAAAATGTTCCTTAATGTCCTCCATTTATATCACGGTGGCTTTGGGTTTTAGACATGCATTGTGCTGCTAATGCTGTTATGGCTGATATGCAGAGGGTGCGTTGTTATATATGGAATCATAGAATTGTACAGTTGGAAGGGACCCCAGGGGTCATCTAGTCCACCCCCCTGCAATGCAGGAATTCTGCCCACAGCTGTCTCTGGGAGGGCTCGAACTACCAACCTGGTTAACAGCCAGACACATGGACCCATTGTGCCACTGAGGGAAGTCTCTTAATGTTTTCTATGATTTTCTTTTCTTCATTGCAAGTCGCTTGGAGACCTTTGAAGTGACAAGCGACTAATAAGATTAATGTTATTATTTTGCATTTATATCCCAGCTTTTTATTCCAAGGAGCTCAAGCTAGCCTACGTCATTCTCATTTAATCCCCACAACAACCCTGTGAGGTAGGTTAGGCTGAAAGGCAGTGACTGGCCCGAGGTCACCCAGTGACCCCACAAAACTACTTAGGCTAGAATAAATCACAGACACTTAGCTTTGCAAATAAGTGAAGATTTTACTCGCAGGGTTTCCAGAAGTTACACCCATCTGTTGGCAGGGAAATAAAGATGAAATAAGGTTCCAAACCAGGTTAGGCTGAGAGGAAGTGACTAACCCAGGTCCACCAGTGAGGCTGAGTGGAAATTTGCACCCTTGCCTCCCAGGTCCTAGTCCGACACTCTAACCACTCTACCAGGCTGGATGTATTTCTTTCAAGCTTTTACAGCTGCCAGTTTCTGCCTGCTTTAAAATGAAAGGGACGGCAGCCCTCAGGATGTGGCCAGAGACACCGGCTGCCTCTCTACTAACCCCCCCCGGCAAATGGAGCTTGTTGCTTCCACCATTTTAGGTGCCTGCTTCCATTTTGCTGCCTGAGGCACAACAGATGATGCCCTTCACCCCCTGCCACCCCCCACAAGTCCAGGTGCAAAGTACACAAGCTGTAGTTTGTTAAGGGTCTAGCTCTGTGAGGGGGGTCTCCGAACAACTCTCAGATCCCTTAACAAACTACATTTCCCAGGGTTCTCTGGGGCGAAGCCATGGCTCTTAGAGATATAAGTGTGCTTTGGAAGTATGATGTGACCTCCCTGTCTTTCTAAAGACCTCCTGCAAGCAAGCAATGTTTGCAATGCAATCCACTTTTTTATCATTATATGTTCACAGCGTTTGCAAAGAGATTGCGTTGGGAGTTTTTCTGCTTCTCTTCCATCATCCCACACACCAGCCCCAGTTTCAAACCGCTGTTTTGATTTTCTTCAGCCCATTCACACACAACCTGACCTCCTATTGGCAGCCAGCTCCCTTCCCCCTCTAATCCTCCTGGATTAAGCACCCATAGCCTGGGAACGCGTTATATTTAGCCGCTGCCGTTTTAATCAGCGGCGCATGAATAAAATTGGAGGAGGAGAAGCCGCACTGGGGAAAGGATCAGGAAGAGCTGGAGGAAACTGCTGTGTCATGAAACAATGGAAGCAAGAGGCATCCATTGGCAAAATGGGCCTTAACGTTCCTTGAAGGATCCTGTCTTTTCCCGTCCAAGCAATAAGGCCCACACCAGACCATGGGAGAAAGCATGGGGGACAACGACACTTGCTTTCGATGCAATGCCGTCCTTGCAAACAAATCAGAACGAATGCTTATTAAATAGCCAACCTCTCACCTAATTGCCTTTGCAAACAAGTCAGGACAAATGCTCAGCAAACAGGTTGTCTGTACGCACTCCAGGATGGGGCATTTGGGATCCAGTGCCTGTTCAGATCTAGTTGCAGAACGGACCCCTGTCCCCTGCAAAAGAGTTGGGCGGACATTTTGAGGAAATTCTTATTACAGTAGTCCTAGACAGCAGAAATAGGAGTAGATTGATTACGGAGGACAAGAGGTCAAATCCTTCTCCTCCCCAAGATTGCGGCTTTAATACCCCAAATGGTTTTTTTGTGGGTTTTTGGGTACATTTCAGTAACTCTAGGCTCTAATTTCAATGGTCTGGCATCCCTCCGCTTTTACATAGCGATGTGTATTATGTCATTTGCTTCAATATGTGGTCAAAGAAAGCCCTGCTGCATTGATGGAGGCCTTTCTCCTGTTCATTGTGCTGTTTGTGGTCCCGGATTTCTGCCCCAAAGTCCTGTCTCGGTGGCATCGCTGGCTTTTTCCCCTGACCAAGCACCTCTGGGGCTTAGACCGTGTGACAAATAATAGATGACCTACTGAAACTGTTCCCGGGCACTGCTAAGCGGCCTTCTCCCAAATCCGGCAGTTTTGTTACGTGCTTTAAACATGGAGGAGTGTTCACAATACAGTGGTGCCTCAGGTTAAGAACTTAATTCATTCTGGAGGTCCGTTCTTAACCTGAAATGGTTCTTAACCTGAGGTACCACTTTTAGCAAATGGGGTTTCCCGCTGCTGCCACACCGCCACCACACGATTTCTGTTCTCATCCTGAGGTAAAGTTCTTAACCCGAGGTGCTATTTCTGGGTTAGTGGAGTCTGTAACCTGAAGTGTCTGTAACCTGAGGTACCACTGTACAGTGGTATCTCGGGTTAAGTACTTAATTCATTCCGGAGGTCTGTTCTTAACCTGAAACTGTTCTTAACCTGACGCACCACTTTAGCTAATGGGGCCTCCTGCTGCTGCCGCGCCACCGGAGCACCATTTCTGTTCTCATCCTGAAGCAAAGTTCTTAACCCGAGGTAATATTTCTGGGTTAGTGGAGTCTGTAACCTGAAGCGTCTGTAACCTGAAGCGTCTGTAACCCGAGGTACCACTGTAATGCAATTTCCTCCACCTGCAGTCCGAGGGGGTGTCTGGTCCAGGAGCAATTTTATCAGGCTGTTTGTGTGAACGAGGCCCAGCCGTGTTTGTGCCACTATGTCCAGGTGCCTGCTAACGCAGGACGGACTGCAGAGCTGCAATCTGACAAGCGAGCGTTCACCCTGCTGCAGGCTTCGCCTTTCCATTACTTACAGACCAATTTAAGTAAAAGCCCACGTAAGCCAATGTATGGGATGAGCTGCCGCTTGGGGAGAGGACTGTAGCTTAGCCATACAGCATCTGCCTCAAATGCAGAGGGTCTCGGCTCATCCGAACTTGCCCTTGCAAGTAAACCTTGTGGGAATGTTCAGGGTGGCAGGAGAGGATTTATTGTTTATTAATATCCTTCCCAGCTTCCTTTATGTAGCAGAGTTACAATCCCCTTTTACATGCACAGCAGATAGCTGGTTGCAGGCTCATGTGAGCCTCTCACTATTATACAATTCAATCTGTCTCAGATTCCTGGTAAGTTCCCTTGAATCCCTCTTAAAAGAATAAATACGCCACAATCTTATTCAAAGTCAATAAAAGAAGTTTACTCACATCAGTTCACAGTTGGATTCCTGAAGGCAGACTTAGTTGCAAATATGTACATGTGGAGCTACCCCACATGGGGAAATAATCCCAGTGCTTCTGTTGGCTGAGAGCTAGCAGAGCAGTCCTAGCTAAAAGCTGGTCAAACAAAGAAGGAAGTCAAAAAGAAGTGAAGAGTGCCGCATGACTCGTCCTTTTGTAACCTGGACAGGTTAGGTCACGCCCACCTTCTATCAAATGCAAAAGGAAGGATGCTCCAGCCAGGAAGAACAGGAAGTTTCGACTGGCCGGACCAAACATTCCCTCGCATGTCTTCTCTAGCATTACAGGGAATGTTGTACTTGACTCCTTCTCATGAATCACACCCCACAAACCTGATCTTTACTGCTGAATTGGTACAAATGTCAATCATGTTTCTCCAGATTGACACTTGTTTCTATTTAGCATTAAAGAGTGGGCTTTCTGGGGGAAATGGCGGGACAAAGGCAAAACATCTCAAACCCGTGGACAGGACAAGCACAAGCCCGGATGAGGCCTCAGTGCAGGCAGTGATGCACTAGACGGATTGAGGGGCTTGCCTCGGTTTTAGGCAGCTTTTTACATTCTGGCTGAAACTCACTTCAGCGCTGGAGACAGCGGAACAACACCTTCCATCACATCTGTGGGTAGCAGGCTGGTTCAAAGGGTGCAGGGCACGCGCTCCTCTGTTGTCCAACGGAGGGGAATGTGCTCACAAAGAACAGTCCTATGGTGCTGCTGCCCTGCCTCCATACACCCCCCAGCTCCTGCCTGAGGTGGCTGCCCGGCGTTGCCTAATGATTCTGTTCTGACTTAGCCCCGGGTCTCAGTGTGGCTACAGCAGTCCTGCTTCAAGCCAGGGCACGCCACTTCCTGCTTGCAGAGCCGCTTACCAGGAAGCTGTGTTTATGGAGAAGCATCGCCCCCTACTGGTCTCCTCCACTTTGCACCAGAATGATGACTACGGAGCCGCCAGTGTTTCATAGCTGAGTAGGGATTTGAACCCTAGTCTCCCAGGTCCTAGTCAGACACTATAACTCCTACATTGCACTGGTTCTCCTGTTGAAACGCTGGCCCTCTGTACTACTACTACTACTACTAATAATAATAATTTATTATTTATACCCCGCCCATCTGGCTGAGTTTCCCCCAGCCACTCTGGGCGGGTGCCACTACCAAGAAGGCCCTCTGTCTGGTTCCGAGAAGGCCCTCTATTTGCCTTAGAGGGCCAAACCACACCCACCCCCTACATTTAAAACATACTTAAAGCACTTTTAACAGTAAGTTAAAGGTTAGCTCTGTGAGGCATGGACTACAGTTCCCAGGAATCTTTGGGGGGAAGCAAATGTGTTTTTTAGGGACGGTGTGGATGTGACACAGTGAAACTAATGCAAATCTTTTCCAAGTGGAACTAGCAGACCACATATGTCTCTCTCTCTCTCTCTCTGTGTTTGTATGTGTGTGTGAGAAAGAGAGAGAGAGAGAGTGTGTGTGTGTTTGTGTGAGAGGGATATCAGGCAATGGGCATGTTTACTTCAAGGGTGACATTTTTAAAAGTGGAGGCAGTCAGTTCAGTGCACTGTTGTTGCAATTACAGCAGTTAGTCAATTTAGCTATTATTATTAATCCTTATTTGTTGCTTACTTCAAAAAAAAAATGCCTCAAAAGTTGCCTCGTTTTTTTTTTAAAAATGAGAAAAAGCATATTAATTTCAAATTAGAATACATCAAAAGATTTAAAAATAGGTTAACTAGAATTGCTCATCTTGCAATAATGTAAAAAGAACACACCCTACCCCACCCAGCTAAAAGATGAACACGAATAAAGAGTGAAGTGTCTGGGTAAATAAGAACCTCTTTCGCCAGTACATCTCTTCGGGGAGAGCAATGCCTCCTTACGCAGGTTGCTTCCCAGCTTTTAGAAATGTGTTCCTATTTGTTTATGATGGCGCCTGTGTTTTTTTGTTTTTGTCTGATTGTCAGTGTTCACTCTTTTTTTGTTTTTACATTAGTGATCTAAGCCATGCAGGTCTGGGTATCTGTGGAGATATATATATATATGAGAAATAAAGAAACCAGTTGCAGAGTTAGATGGCTTAAAGCAAACAGGCAAATTATTGGATTTGTGGAGTGCAGGACTATCGATGGCTTACCGTATTTTTCACTCTATAAGACACACCCGACCATAAGACGCACCTAGTTTTTAGAGGAGGAAAACAAGAAAGCAACGCAAAGCCTCCTGAGCGAAGAGGGACGAGCGCTCCCGCTGCGCTCAAGAGGCTTTGCTTGGCTATCCCTGAAGCCAGGAGAGCAAGAGGGATCGCTGCGCACCGATCCCTCTTGCTCTTCTGGCTTCAGCGACAGCTGCGCAGCCTGCATTCGCTCCATAAGACGCACACACATTTCCCATTACTTTTTAGGAGGGGGAAAGTGCGTCTTATAGAGCGGAAAATACGGTACTAGGCACGATGGTGAAATGGAACTTCCATACTTAGAGAGAGTAAACCTGACTAAATGCGGCACGATGTCGTTGGTATCTGTCTGTCTTGAGAGACAACGGAAGAGTGCGCCAAAAGCAGGTCAAACTGCTGGAGAATCCAGCCTCCCACATTGTTTTTACTACATTAGCAGCACCGAAGTGACTTCCCGGGAGCACAAGCCTGGGCAGTGTGTATGGTCGTCCTGGGCTACCCACCCCACCCTTGGCCTCACTGATGTGGCCCAAAGGAAAGCAGAGCAATATGTTTGGCACCAGCTTGGCTGCAGGAGTTGATGCGTCTTGATAAACATACCACTTGGGGAGGAAATGAGCATGTGAGCTTCTTGAGGGCATCTGGCTCACTGCTGATGGGGCTTTGGCTGCCTTGACCTGACAAAGCATTGTCAAAATGTGGAGATGAATACTTCTGAGCATGTTCAAAGTGACCTTGCCCACCTGGAACCGGGATCCGAGCTTCTAAAAAGGCCCCTTTCTGCTGTTTATTTCCTTATTTATTCTATTTATTAAATTTATATAATACCACCCTTCATCCGAGGATCACAGGGCGGTTTGCAACACACAAACACTTATTGAACCCTTAACAGGTAAGTTCCCTGAGGCGCAATGCTTATCTATTGTGTTTTTATTATAATTATAATTATAATAGTAATAATAGAGTGGTACCTTGGGTTAAGAACTTAATTCGTTCTGGAGGTCTGTTCTTAACCTGAAACTGTTCTTAACCTGAACTTTAGCTAATGGGGCTTCCTGCTGCCGCCGTGCCGCCGCTGCACTATTTCTGTTCTCATCCTGAAGCAAAGTTCTTAACCAGAGGTAATATTTCTGGGTTAGTGGAGTCTGCAACCCGAAGCATCTGTAACCCGAGGTACCACTGTAATAATTAGTCTTCTTGTCCCATATGCAAAACTCGCCTCCTCCTCTACCACAGGATTCCTTTGCACAGACTTCCCTCTCAGCCTATTCTGGTCGGCAGACTTTCCGGGGCTTCGTTGGAGCCAGATCCTCCGGGAAAGGAAACGCGGAGCAGCGCGCCAGTGCATGTGCAGAGTGCAGAATGACTCACCTGGGAGGGAGGGAGGTGATCCTCCTAAGAACCTATCACATTTTAGGAACTAACCGCACGGATCCTAGCGCCTTGACGGCGGGGGTCTGCACGGAGGGCGCAACCACGTGGTGGGGGGGGGGGCAAGGGCGCAGTGGGGCGGGAAGAGTTTGGTGGGTGGGGGGAGAGGGGAGGCGGCGCGGGCCTCTCTCTCCCTGCTCCCGCTCCGCGATCCTCGAGCCCCATTAGCTGAGCGTCGCTTGCCCGGGCCGGCAGAAGCTGCGCTGGCTGCGTCCCGGGTTTGCTGCTGCCGCTGCACGTGACTGTGCGCCGCAGCACCTTGGCCTTTTGTGGGGCGCCCTGCTCACCGCCTGCAGCACCTTTGGTTGGGCAAAGTGGAAGAAGCAGGCAAGCAGGTCGGGACACGAGCCACCCGCCGCCTTCTCCATCCCGGGTGCACGGATCCCTTGGCACCGAGTGCGAATCCTGCCACAAGCAGCGGGGAGGGAGGGAGAAGGAGGGTGCAGCGGCGGTTCCTCCTCCTCCTCCTCCTGCGCCCCCTTCCTAATGCATGCTGGCCGAGCTCGATGCTGTGGCTATTTGGGGCTTGCGGGGTAAGGGGAGGGAAGAGGCTCTGCTGCTCCCCGCGCGGGGACGCTGCTGGAGCGCGCCTTGTTGCTTGCTGGGCTTTTTTTGCAGGGTGGCTTCGCTGCTCCCCGCGACGATGCCGGCAAGAGCGGAGCTGGCCGCGGGGGCCACCTGAGCAGAGGAGAAGAGACGAGGAGGAGGAGGAGGAGGAGGAGCTTTGGGCGCATCTAGGACACCCCACCCTCGGCTCCTGACCAAGCGATGCGGGGCAGCGCGGGGCAGCGGCGCCAGGAGGAGCCCGAGGTGAGAAACCTGCGCGCGTTTGTGCACGAATGTTCGTGTGTCTCTCTGCGTGTTGTGTTTTGTGCATTTCCATCCGGGCTTGGTGGAAGGCGGGGCGGGGGGGGGGTTGGAGGGAAAGAGACGTCCTCCTCAATAGACACCCACAGACACCCGGGAGGGCACTCTTCCTGGCACCTGGCAAGGCGTTTAATGGAGGATCATTAAGTTTGGACGCCTGGCACACCCTGCGCATTACTGACCTTGGACGCCGAGACAGCCTGGCAACTCCCCGGCTTGGATGCTGTGTGAGCAAGAAGCCTTTGCACTGCCCGCTGCTTTGTCACACACACACACACACACACACACACACGGCACCTTTTGCAAAGACCACGCACCCACCTCCAGGCTTATGGTAAGTGTGACTGCCCTGCCAGAAGAATCGGTGGCCGTTGAGGATCTCGGCAATGGGACCTGGGAAGCTGGAATCTTATTCTTCTCTGGCGATCACTCGTAGCCGAGTAAGATTGTCTTCCATAAACACGGTTTTAACAATGAGTCCGTAAGTGACTGTGGAGGCCAATTCTGGATCCGGTGTTGCATCTAGCTCAGTATTGTCCACACTGGCTGGTAGCCACTTTGCAGGCACCCCTTCCCAGCCTTTACCTGGAGATGCCGGGATTGAAGCTGGAAACTTTGGCATGCAAAGCAAATGCTCCACCACTGAGCCTGGGTCCTTCCCCAACAGCACCCAGACTGGGGGCAGATTTGCATGAAGAACCCCAGGCTGAGGTGTGCGTCTTGTGTTCCCTTGTAAAGCATTTGTGCGTTCTTGAGCTCATGGGGAGGGGGGGGAATGCCTATTCTGAGAGGCTGGATCCCTCGGCTGCTTGGTAGGATGTTAATGGGATGGCAGCGTGCACATGACAGGGAGGTGGGTGAATTGTTGGGAGATGTACAGCCTGGTGTTTTATCACCATCGTGGTTATAACACTTGTCTTGCAGCAAATCAATGCGGTGGGCATTTATTGCTCCCATTTTACAGCGCGGAGTAACTGAGGCTGAGAGGCAGAAACTTGCTCAGGGTCTGCGCTGTGAGCCTATGACTTATAAGTGGGAATTTGGAGTCAGGTTCCGCTCTCTGCCCATTGGGCCATGCTGCCTCTGTTATATATCAATGGCTTGTGATAGCTAGTGGATAGGGTGCTGCAGTGTCGTGAAAAACTGTTTGGGGATAGTCAAGTGCCTTTTACCAAGGTATGGTGGTTCGTGTTGTCCGGGGTGGGACAGGGAAGCAAGGCATTCCAAATCATGCATCTCTTTGCTGCCAGGCTTGGGAAGGGTTAAAGTGCTGCAGGATTCCTGGCTCCAATCAGGGGTGCAGGGATCTGCTAGCTTGGTCTGAGCATCCCCATCCTCAAGCTGCAATAGACCGGGAGCCAGGCGCCCAAGGTGAACTTGCATGAGCTGCAGGGAGTAGGTGCTCTGCAGGGCTTAGGTATTGAGTCACACAGCTCCGGGGATGTGGTTTGCTTTTGTAGGCCAGCTGATCCGTCTGCATTTTCCGAGTGGTACGCCTTGCAGATGGTCCCAGGTTCAGTTCCTGACATTTCCAGTTAAAGGATCTTAACAAGAGCAGGAAAGGCCTTGGTAGCCCTGGGGAGCTGCTGCCTGCTGGGGTGCGCAGTATTGGGTTGCATGGACCAGGCGGCTGCTTACATAAGTCCTCTTACTCCCTAAGGTTTTGCTGTTGTGCCCAAATGGCAACAAGAGAGATAGAAGATGGTCGTAATCCTATAAGGATGTTGCGGGACATAAGAGCCACCCGGTGTGGCCCTTGCCTTAGAAGCCCACCAGCCCCAGAATGATACCACTATCAATGTCTTTTCAGATGGGGCAGCTGCCTTGCCATGCGTCCTCTGGCTCAAGATGCAGTGGCAAAGCCCAGAGTTGGGAACGGGGGGTTGGCTGCTGCCATCTGAGGTCCCGCCAAACCCAGCAGTGGGAGGGGAGAAGGCGATACACACTGCAGCTGTATGCCGGAGAAGGGAGAGACAAGTTGCTTATACATGTGACTTCAGCTTCATGTTTGCATCCATGTGCCATGCACAGCTGCTCACTTATGCTCGCCTGCAGCTCTCTGTCCACCCAGCTTGGCGTTCAGTTCATGTTGCTGCTTTTGTTTCTCCTGGAGGCGGTCTCCTGGCTTAACCCCGCTTTGCCCATCGCAGCCCTTTGTCACCAAACTCACCCGCTTGCTTCCCTTGCTGTCTTTTGCTCCCGATCCTTGCTTGCGACAGCCAGCCGCCTTCCTCACCCGTGTCGCTGTCCCACAGGGTGAAACCTGAGAAGTTGTGACGACGCTGGATGCGGGCCGCCTCACGTCGCAGCGATGGCCTCCGTGGGACTCTTCCTGGCCTGGAGCCTGCTGCTGCCGGCCCTGCAACAGGCATCCCGCCTCCCCACCCCAAACAACCCCACCTGGGACCCTCCCTTGAGCTCTGCCCCACGGCTGCCTCCGCTGAATGGACCCTCCCAAGAGCTTCTCCCAAGCATAACGCCAACCCGTTCAGACCCCTTTGCCCACGAGATCTCCAGCGGCGATGGGGAGCCAGGCAGTGAGATTTGGGACGGGGCGAATCCCACAAGCCATCCCGGGACTCCAATACCCCGGGTGCCCTTTGACTTCCCTCCGGTGACCCGTTCTGGCTTGGGGACAACTGCTAGGGCTTCTGAAGTAAGCTCAGCTCCCCACCTCACCGTGCAGGGTCTTCCTCAGATGGGGGGCTTCAGTCTGTCAACAGTGGGGCTTTCTAGCGTTAATACAGAGCCTGAGGCAACCACTGGCCATGCACCTGCGGAAATAAGCCCAGAGCAGGGAAATAATGGGACTTCTCTCTCAGTCCCTGGTGCTGCAAGCGTGGTCACTCCTGGAATGGCCTCCCTGCCAACCTCATCCGGGGTCGAGGCCTCGGATTTACCTGCCTCCCAGGACGAGACCAGCCGCCACCAGGCGGTGCTCAAAGATATTTCCATGGCAACCACACTAGGCCCCAAACCTACTGTTTCCACCATCCCCTTGCTGACGTTACCTGCTGACGGGTCCCACGTAAAGTGGATGGCGACCGAACGCACCGGCCCAAGGGACGATAGCGCCATGGGGCAGCGGGGAAACGGGGGTCCGCAGCAGGAGCTGGTGGGCCCAAACCAGACCACCGTCAAATATATGGCTTCCTACAGGAGCACACAGACTTATGGGGGCCCACAGGGACGGGAGGAGCTCTCCACCACTCCTTTTAGACCCACACACGCGGCTGGATACACCCAGAGGCCGCTTGGGCCAGGGAGGGACACTGTGGTTGTTGCTTCTGTCTCCCGGGCTGGTACAGCCATCCCACTGGATGGGCCCCTGGTCTCCACAAGCCCCCCTCAGCCAGCCTCAGAGGTCTTCCCGAGCCCGTCCACCTCTTCACCGGCAGGGGACGTGGCAGGGACCCCCCAGGGACCAGTTACGCACCAAGGAAGCACCCATTGGAGCCTGATTGTCCACACAACGCAGCAGCCAGGACTTTGGGAAGTGGCCGGAACGGAAAAGACTCATTCTCTTGGCGGGTCAGCGACCCCAGGTAGGTTTTAGGTTGTTTCTACTTTGGGTTACGGTCTTACTAGCAATAAACGCCCCTCCCTGCCCCCAATTCTGGTCAAACTAATAGCCAAGCGGTTCTCAATTGGTGGTCTGTGGGGGGTGGGGTCCGTGTAACACAGCCAGGGGGTTCATCACACCATTCACATAACAAAGATTAACATAGCGATATCAACATTTTCAAAAGTAGAGGGTCCATGGCTTGGCTTTTGAAAAACGGGGATTCCCTAGTTCATAGCTATTTGGGAACCATTGGTAAATAGACCCATTTGCTCTCTCTTAAGGCTACATTCACAACATATGCTTAGAGCAGTATGGTACCACTTTAAACAGTCCCAAAGAATTCTGGGACCTGTAGTCTATTCAGGGTGCTGAGAGTTGTTAGACCCGTAGTTGCAATTGCAGAGCGGTTTAGCAGTCAGTCCCTCTTCCCAGGGAACGCTGGGAATTGTAGCTCTGAGAGGAGAATAGGCGGCCTTGGCATGGGGGTGCCTCCTGTCAACTCTCAGCACCCTGAACTGACTACATTTCCCAGAATTCTTTGGGGGAAGCGATGACTGCTTAAAGGTAGGGTTGCCATATTTCAAAAAGTTAACTTCTTGACACATGCAAAGTTGTTGAGGGTTTTTGTTGTTGTTTTGTTTTGTTTTTGGAATAAATCCAAATTGTTGAGCTTTTTGGGAGAAACCTTCCCCACCAAAAAACAACAACAGTGATTTTAAGTTTTTGGAGCTATTTCGCAGCTTTTTCCATTCATTGCCATACATCCGGGTTTTTCCTGAAACTTGCTATCATTTGCCACTTGCTTTAGGGTGTCCCCATGAGAGTGAAAAGGAATTATCGTACTGGGGAAGGTTATGCCTATGATAACTGCAGTGGGGGCTGGGATGTAACGTGGCAGAAGTAAGCTGGGCTCTGTACAGTGGCTGGCATATTATGGGTGGAATCGAGTGAATTGTTTTATTAGTGCAGCGATGGGGGAAGACATTTAGTTGTGAGGGAGGATATATGAAGTAGCAAAGAGGCTGGCAGCGACAGGAAGGAGGTGGCCGGGATATTGCAGCTTTGCTGCGGTTGGGATGGGGTTTAACGCTCTAGGGTGTTTTGTGAAGCAGCAGCAGTGGCTGAAAGTAGCATAGCATAGTTTAATTCAATTTTTATTTGAGCACTGGGTATATATCATTATGTGAACCATTGAGAGGTTTATTTATTTTACTAAGTGGTCTATGCATTTTGTTGTTAAATAGGTAACATAAATCAAAAAAATATTGTTATTGTAAGCCACTTCGGATGCTCACCGCAAGCAGAAAAGTAACAAAACGGTTGTAGCCAGCAATGCTGTACTCAGAGCAGACCCACTGGAATTAATGGACCCAACTTAGCCATGCCCATCAATTTCAATGGGTCTACTCTTGAGTATGGCTAAGAACCCTTAGCTACTCAGTATGGCATCTCCTGGTTCTTCTGCTACCTGAAACCCCTATTGGAATCAGTCCTCTTCGGGTTGGATAACTTTCCTCACCTCATAATCTCTTTAGCTACAAAGGGAACATTATTAACATCGAGGAGGGATTTAATTTTTAAAGGTTACCCAGACATTAGATGACAACCTTGAAATTATTAACTATGAGGGCGTGTGATTGTTTTTAGACTTTAAACATTTTTTTTAATCAAATGGTTTTGACTATTTTGCTTTTGCTGCCCTGAGCTCCTTTGAGAGGAATGGCAGGATATGAATTTAATAATAATAATAATAATAATAATAATAATAATAATAATAATAATTTATTATTTATACCCCACCCATCTGGCTGAGTTTCCCCAGCCATTCTGGGTGGCTCCCAACCGAGTGTTAAAACAATATAGCATTAAATATTAAAAACTTCCCTAAACAGGGCTGCCTTCAGATGTCTTGTAAAGATAAGATAGCTGCTTATTTCCTTCACATCTGAAGGGAGGGCATTCCACAGGGTGGGTGCCACTACCAAGAAGGCCCTCTGTCTGGTTCCCTGTAACCTCACTTCTCTCAATGAGGGAACCACCAGAAGGCCCTCGGTGCTGGACCTCAGTGTCTGGGCAGAACGATGGGGGTGGAGATGCTCCTTCAGGTATACAGTAATAATAAAAGCAATGCTTCCGGGAGAAAACAAGGCAGCAGTTTGACATGGTGGGGTTTTCCTTTCGCCTGAGCTAGAGCTACCTGTGTAGTTGCTGGATCCATCCAAAGCCTATTCCTCTCTTTTTCTCCCCAGGGATTTTGGGAGCGATTGATATTAACCCCCAACGAGTCCGGGGAGCTGTGATGCCCAAGGTCCCTGTCACGTATGTTGGGTCCTCTACTCCTGGACAGGACACCTCTGTGGTGAGGACCAGCCCGGAAACCAAGCACCCAGGTGAGTGAGAACAGGGCAGCGAAGATGTTTACTAAGAACGTGAGAAGAGGTCTGTTAGATCAGACCATCTAGGCTGGGGTACGGTGGGCTATGCCTGCGTAGCCAAGGCGGTAGACTCCATATGTGGACTCCAACTCTCATCAGTCCCAGCAAGGGTGGTCCAACAAGAAGCCACAAACAGGGCTTGAAGGCATTATGATTCCCTGGCAAGGCTCCCCCCGAGATACGCTGCTTCTGAGCATGGAGTTTGCTAAATAGGGCTCCGCAAATCATCCCTCCATGATCAACATATCCCATGGCGCTGAATTCAGGTATGGGTGTCCTTGGAATCCTTCAGAATATCCCTCCCGCAGCTGCTATTTGCTTTTTTAAAAAAGAAAAAAGCATGAATAACATAATACACAGTTTGGCCCTAAGTACGCGGGTGGCGCTGTGAGTTAAACCACAGAGCCTAGGACTTGCCGATCGGAAGGTCGGCGGTTCGAATCCCTGTGACGGGGTGAGCTCCCGTTGCTCGGTCCCAGCTCCTGCCAACCTAGCAGTTCAGAAGCACATCAAAGTGCAAGTAGATAAATAGGTACAGCTCCGGCGGGAAGCTAAACGGCGTTTCCGTGCGCTGCTCTGGTTCACCAGAAGCGGCTTAGTCATGCTGGCCACATGACCTGGAAGCTGTACGCTGGCTCCCTCGGCCGAGAAAGCGAGATGAGCGCCGCAACCCCAGAGTCGGCCATGAGTGGACCTAACGGTCAGGGGTCCCTTTACCTTTACCTTTACCTATAACTTCATTTACTCACTTATTTGTCCCCTAGCCCTTTTGCTCTTCCCTTCCTTTCTCCCCCTCCCTCCATAATCTCCCTCCACTTTTGGGGTTCGTAGCTGACAAAGTCACACTCGGAACAGAACCCACAAGTTAGTTGTGGTTAACTGAGGTCCATTTTGAGTATGGCTTGGATGCCACACTTAGGCTGCAAACTTACTTGGGAGTATGCTCTGTTGATCTCAATGAGATTTGCTTTAAGCAGACATGCACAGGGCTGCACCGTCTCAGTGTAATCTTGTTGGCGTAAAGACCTGCCCTGCCCTCTCTTTTTTGCTTATCTCGCTGCGCAAAGTGCTGTGCACCTTGTCGGTGCTCCATACATAATACATTGCAATAATAGATTGGATATGTTATTGAAGGAGGCGGATTGCCTTACTACTGGGCTTTCGTTTCAGATTTTAAATCCGCCACTGTTGCAAATATGCTGAATTGACTAGCATTAAATTTATTATTGCGTTGCATAATTCATTCTGCTTCTCCTAGACTGTGGGCGGGGGGGAGGGACAGTGAGTTATACAGGGCACTCAACGAGTGTCTGGATGGCCGAGCAGCCTTAAGACTCAAGGCTTTGGGTTTAGGCTAAGGTGGCTGTCCAGCCCTAAACACAACCCAGATGGCACAATTAATGGTCAGGGATGTGTAGTTCAGCAAAACCTGGAGGTCCACAGGTTCCTCATCCTCAAAGTGGACAGTGCTGGCCCAAGTAGGCCTATCTCAGGATAAGGTAGCTTTGAATGTCTGAAGCTGCATTCCTTCTCCTTTCTATGTTCTGCCTTCTGCCCATTCAGCAAATTCTCTGGCATTTATTTGAGCTCTCGCCTGGCGCTGCCCAAACACACTCCCAGCAATATATTTGCAGCCAAAAACTTTTTAAAAAGGGGGGGGGGAGATTCTGCAGCCAGTGCCCCCTTCCGCAGCCTTTCACGAGCTCTGCGAAATGGTGGCAATCAAACCCACACCTCTGCTTACCCTTACTCGCTCGAGCCATCTCAGACAATTTGCTTCGCAAATTTGTCTTCTGATAATGGTATGCAGTGGCGTGTAAGGACAAAAGCAAATACTTAACCAGCATCTCCGCCTTATTAAGGGTCCCAGCCTGGGTGGGGAGGCAGGGAGCGCGAGACAATTATTATATATATCTCAATTATTTCCAGCAGTCTCTCCCCTGTAGAATGGAAATGGTCTTCACTTTGGGCAGTAAAATTGGCCCACGTGACCTTTCAGCACCATACTTAGACAGATGTGGGTTCGTGTTCATGGTCACCAGTCCCACCAGAACGAAGGAGCTTGGAAGAGAACCTTTGACTGCATTCAAAAAGTACAGGGTGCTTAGGGGTGCAGGGTGCTGGAACTTATCCAGACACACAGGCAGAGTAGCAAGGCACACACGCTTCCCCCCTCCCCCGTTCTTGGAATCCCCTCCATACCCAGGGACAAAGGCTGATTCCCGTTTAGAGCCTCTATTTGGAATTCTTCCCCAGATGCCCAGGAAGGATTTGGGTGGACCGGGAAGAAGCAAGGCTGCCGTGTGAGGGACCTAGTTCTGCCCTAAATGGATTGTTCCATAGGCAGCGGGGGGTGCTGGTTATATCTGAGCTCGGTGCCATTTCTAATCAGGATAATCTCCGGACCCGATTAGCGCTAACTACGCAAGCTTGGCTGTCCTCCTCACTAGCTGCTCCTTCCCAGGACATATCTCTGTGAAGACGAGGCAGGATGGGTGCTGGTCCAGAGAGGACCTCTTGCCCCTGAGCTATTTCATTCCCCCCGCTAGGCCTCGGATCCCTGAGCCCACAACACGTAGAGGATCGTGCGAGTCCAAAGTTGCCACTTTCTCCTAGGACAGGACAATAATTTGGCCCCAGGTTTGATCCCCAGCAAAGCTGGGAGAAAGTCTGGGTAGCCACTGCCAGTCAGTGTAGACAATACTGATGTAGAGGTTAAAAAAAAAAAACGTAAAGGACCCGTGGACGGTTAAGTCCAGTCAAAGGCAACTCTGGGGTTGCGGCGCTCATCTCGCTTTCAGGCCAAGGGAGCCGGTGTTTGTCTACAGACAGCTTTCTGGGTCATGCGGCCAGCAGGACTAAACCGCTTCTGGCGCAATGGGACACCGTGACGAGAACCAGAGCGCACAGAAATTGCGTTTACCTTCCTGCCGCAGTGGTACCTATTTATCTACTTGCACTGGCGTGCTTTCAAAAGGTTGGCAAGAGCTGGAACAGAGCAATGGGAGCTCACCCCGTCGCGGGGATTCGAACCACCGACCTTCCAATTGGCAAGCCCAAGAGGCTCAGTGGTTTAGACCACAGTGCCACCTGTGTCCCTACTGATGTAGAAGGGCCAGACTCAGAAAGTTCCCACCTCCCCCTTGCCCACCCATTTTCTTTCCTTCCCTTGCCTTGGGCTCAGCAGAAGAGTGCAATAGTAGGCCACCCTTTTCTCCTGAAGCCAAGGCGATCCAGCACCACTGCCCCTGTCATTTTTTGTGACAAATAGTGATTTGACACCTTCCTACGCAGACACCCTTTCCCCTCTTTCCTGCTGGGCAGTTTCTGTCTTTGGCACAGTTTTTGCCTCCCTATCCCCTGATCTCACCCCCTACCCCCCAGTTCTCCTCTGCTTTGCTGATCCACTCATGCCTAGATCAGTTCCAGCAAATTGGGGAGTGGATGGCAGGCAAAAGACAGTGAAGAAGCTCTGGTTGCCTTGTCTCTCACTTGCAGCAGAAGATTTAAAGGTGCATGGATGTTCTCCAGAATGCAACCCAGCAGATTCCACCCCCTCAAAAAAAAATCTGCCATTAGGTGGTTCACATTCAGATTCATTGACTTCAGAAATAGGGTGGAACTGAGACCTGTGGGCATATAAATTCAATAAAATAAATAAAATTTAAAATTTTTAAAAAACCTACATCATCCTTCTGGCGGTTCCCTCACTGTAAAAAGCAAAGCTACAGGGAACCAGGCAGAGGGCCTTTTCGGCAGTGGCGCCCGCCCTGTGGAACGCCCTCCCATCAGATGTCAAAGAAATAAACAACTACCTGACATTTAGAAGACATCTGAAAGCAGCCCTGTTCAGGGAAGTTTTTAATGTGTGATATTTTAATGTATTTTTGAACTTTGTTGGAAGCCGCCCAGATGGGCGGGGTACAAATAAATTATTATTATTATTATTATTATTATTATGATTATTATTAGTGGGGAACTGTTGCATTTGCAATTTCTGGATCCTTTTGCTTGCTCCCTCCATACTAAGTTGGCTTTAGTGCTTCTCGTTTCAGAATTTCCACCATGCTCAGCATAATCCCTGTAAAACAGATGCACCTTAGGGACAGAGGAAGCTGCCTACTGAGTCAGACCGTTTGCTCCATCTAGCTCAGCATTTTCTACTGCGACTGGGTTTCAGGCAGGGGATATTCTCAGCCCTTCCTGGGGACGCCAGGGATTGAATCTGGGAGCGTTTGGCAGGATGAGAGAATGCTCTGCTGCTGAGCTTTTCTCCACTTAGCCCATATAGCTTGTCAGTTGTTTACAACTATAGGCTTCTCTGCATGTGGCCTGGCCTGAAGCTTCTTCACTTTCCTCCCGTGTAACTTGGAAAAACAAAGTCCCTCCACAGTCATTCCTGGATCCCTAGTGCATATCCTCCAGGCTTATCTCAGCGGTGGCCTCTTAGCTTGCCTTACCAGTTCTGAACAATCTACTGAGTCTTCCTTAATCACCCCCTCCCCTCCCCTCCCCTGGGCTCATCTTCAGGCTGAAAAATTACCAGTTATTACAATCGGGAGAACTGCAGTGTGTGGTATGCCAGCCCCGGCCGAGCTATTTTCTAGGATACAGTCATACCTCGGGTTGCGAACGTGATCCGTGCGGGAGGCACGTTCGCAACCTGCAGCTGAAGTGCTGTGTCTGCGCACGCATGTGGTGCGATTTGGCACTTCTGCGCATGCGCGTGGTGTCATTTTGTGCTTCTGCACATGCATGGGTGCCGAAACCCGAAAGTAACCCGTTCCGGTACTTCTGGGTTTGGTGCGGTACGCAACCCAAAAACGCACAACCTGCAGCGTTCATAACCTGAGGTATGACTGTACTCCATCCCAGTTTTCAGTTCCTCATTCCCAACAGTTAGCATTTTCAATCACTGAGTGTGTTCGGTTCCCATTGGGCCGGTTTTGGAGTTTACCACCAATCATCACTGCTGAGGGTTATTTCTCCTAAATACAGTGGTACCTCTGGTTAAGTACTTAATTCGTTCCAGAGGTCCGTTCTTAACCTGAAACTGTTCTTAACCTGAAGCACCACTTTAGCTAATGGGGCCTCCTGCTGCCGCCGCGCCGCCGGAGCCCGATTTCTGTTCTTATCCTGAAGCAAAGTTCTTAACCTGAAGCACTATTTCTGGGTTAGCGGAGTCTGTAACCTGAAGCGTATGTAACCCGAGGTACCACTGTACCTTTTTGTGCGCATTTGCAAACCTCAGGGTCCCCCCAGTCAGGCTTGACATCTCCCCATTGTGTGTGGGCGGCGTGTCATTTTGGCTACAAAAGGACCCGCGCTTGGAGAGCTGTGTCGGTCGGCCATGAGCTTAAATGATTGTTGGTTATGGTTGCCCTGTTTCCTGCATGCCAGCGTTGCTCGTCTCTCGCTCACCCTGCTGAATCTTGCCAGGTGGCAGGATGGTGAGGCGGGAGGAGGGTAATGAATGGGCCGGGGCCACCCACCTGCTGTCGGGAAGGCCCCCTGGAGCAGATGGCAGAGGAAGCTGCTCCTTAATTTGGCTGCTGTCGCCTCCAGTTCGGGAGAGGAATAAATAGTCATCTCTTGTTCCCCCTCCAGCATAGATGACTCAGTAGCAGAGCGCATGCTGGGCATGCCGAAGGGCAAAGCTTGCAATCCCTGGCATGTCTAGTAGTTAAAGCATATCGGGAAAGATATCTCTCTCGGACTGAGACCTGGGGGAGAGCAGTCAGTGGGGATAGCAAAACCAGTCGGTCCAAAACTGTGTGTCATTTGAGAGAACTGCTCGTTTTGCTACAGTAAACCAATCAATTAAATGCTCCTGGGGCACAAAGTGGGATTTAATAGCATTGCAACCGGCGGGGTGTGTGTTTCGTTGAGTAGGGAAGTCTTAGCAAGAGTAGTGAATAATCCTGGCAACTCCAGCAGGGTTTGGAGAGACTCCTGCCCGAAATCCTGGAGAGCCATTGCCAGGCAGTGCAAACAATACTAAACTAGATGGACCGGACGCCTGACTCAGTATGCGCTCCTATGTAATCTGTGCTTTTTAAAAAACCAAGAAGTACGTCAAAATCGACAGCCAGATTCGCACATTATGCGCACAGCATGCAAATGAAGCAGAGTTGCAATCTTTGGCTATTTTTACATCCTATAATCTGCTTTTATTAGTCCTGCGGAGAGACAGGGGCGGAACTATGCGCGGCATCAGAGTCTTTCCAAGACTTGAAATCTGATTTGATCCTCCCCTCCGGCTTCTTAGATTTCACAATTCATCCTTTGCCCACATGCTTCCAACCGTACTGGGAAGAGGGAACCTCGTACTTGCTTCTCCTTTTTTCCTCTCCTTGATGAAAATGTCGGTTCTGGACAGAGCTGGATGTATGCGTGTCATAATCACGATTTAACAAAGGAACAAAAATGCAGGTTTTCCACTGCATATATTTCTGCAAAAATGGTCTTTTCGGGGGCTTCCTTCCTGACCCTGAACCCATCATGCTTTTATTCATTATCATTTACAGACGCAGCTGGGACCCGTCCTGCTAAGCGGAGCAGCAGCACCACCACCACCACGTCTGCCCGCCTCCTGGACACCCCCCGCCGTGGCCTGATCCGGGTCACCACCCAGAGAGTCGTGCTGCACCGCCAGCTAGCCCGCCCCCAGCCCAGCCTGCCCACTGTCCTCACTGCCTCCAGCCCTCCTTGCCCTAGCCCTGGCAGCGCCTGCAGCCAGCTGCTGCCTAACCAGACCTTGATCCGCTGGGGGGACCTCGAGCGCACGCTGAGCTTTGCCTGGGCGCTGCACGTCTACGGCTCCGGCGTGCTCTTCCTGCTGCTGAGCCTGCTGAGTCTGGCCTGCCTGGGGGGCTCCCTCGCCTTGCGGGTGGCTCACTTCCCGCACGTCGCGGCTGCCAGCGCCCTGCTGCTGGTCTTCGGGCTGCTGCGCACCACCTTCTTCCTGGCCGACCCGTACGGCGCGAGGGGCCGCCTCCCGGCCGCCGCGGTGAGGGTCCTCTACACGGCGCCCTTCCCCATGCTGCTCACCACCTTTGCCGTGCTCCTCCTCCGCCTCTTCCGCCAGGCCCGCCTAGAAGTCCTGCCGCCCAAGTGGCAGAGCTTGCCGCTCTGGGCTGCGCTGGGGTCCGTGCAGAGCGCCGCCCTGCTGGCCGCCGACTTGTTCTCCCCTCCGTTGCACCCGGCCGTGCCGGTGGGGCTGCACACCCTGTCCTGCGCCCTTGGCATCTGCCTCCTGCCCTTCACGGCCTTCGTTTACTGGCTGCTGCGGCGCAGCGTGGCCGAAGCGGCCGAGGGCACCCCGGAGCCGGGCGTCTGGAGCGGGGCCTGGCTGTTGCTGGCAAGCAGCGGGCTGGCCCTGCCGTCCTGCGGGCTGCAGTTCTACGGGGTGCTGTGGTTCTCGGGCCTCCTGGGCCAGGTGGACCTCTTCACCTGGGGCTGGTGGTTCGTGCAGTTCTGGTTCCGGATTGTGGAGCTGGTGCTGTCCTTCGCCCTCGTCTCGCTCGCCTGGCAGGCCCTCTGCTGGCGCTACGGCTCGGCCGAGCACTCCTGCTGGGCCAAGCTCCTACGCTACTTCTGCGCTTACCGCAAGGCCGAGGTGCCTGAGTACCCCAACAACTGCTACGACTGGGCCGGAGGCATCCTGGAAAAGGTCCCCAACAACGACATCAGCAAGAACCTGATCCGGAACCCTCCCGGGGGTGGCAGCGGGCGCCTCTGGGCACTCAAGGACAGCAATGAGCTGCGGGCAGCAGGCGTCCAGGGCTCCAGTCCGTCACCCGCCCGCCCCGTCTACAGCCCCAAGTGCCCCAACGCCGCCGCGGCCATCATGGGCCGCTCCTACACCAGCATCTGCTTCGAGCGGGATTCGGTCCTCTCCCTGGCGGAGCTGGAGTTCCGGCCCCCGTCGCCCATCAACCTGAGCCGCAGCATCGACGAGGCGCTTTTCCGCGAGCACCTGGTGCGCGACTCCATCTTCCTTCGCTCCAGCCTCCACTTCCCTTCGCGCCTGGCCCGCCAGGACTCCTGCTCTTCCCTGCGCGGCGACTGCTCCACTCTCTCCCACACCGCCCAGCCCCTGCTGTCGCGTCCGCGCCGCAGCAGCGACCCCGACTGCCTCTACAGCTTGGCCCGTGCCAGTTCCATGGGCGAGCTCACCACTCAGAGCCGAGGCCTGGCCAGCGAACCTCCGACGGACACCTCCTTCGACAGCTTCTCCCGCACCTCCTTCTCCCGGGCCTCCCTCAAGTTCAGCTGGAACCCCTGGCGCCACGGCCTGTCCTCGCCAGAAAGCCTGCCCCCTGAGGAGCTGCCCAACCAGGCCCAGCTGCTGCCAGACGAACTGCCCCCGCCCCCTTCCAGCAGCGCCCCAAACTCAGAGCGCGAGGCTCGGAAGAGCTTCCTGGCCCTCAGCAAGCAGGTGGATTCTCGCAGCCTCTCCAGCGACACCATTGAACTGTGAAAACGGCTCGGGATCCCGCCCTGCCTGAGGCGCACCAGCCTGGTCCTTAGCGGAGGAGGTGGGAGAAGGTGGCTCTCCCCAGGAAGACTCCCATTTTCCTTTCAAAAAAGCCATGGGGCGCCTTTTGCCCCGACTCGGCCTAGTAAGTGCCACTCACCTAGTGGCCCCCAATCTGTAGCTGGGCTCCTCTAGTGTCAGCCACATGATAAATAGTACCGCCAGCCAGCCATCCACTCTGTGACAACCACAAACGTAGCACAAGCCAGTCATCCGTTCCCATGTTCTGTAGTGCCAGGAACACCCAAGCGTCCGCTCGCCATTTTCTGTAGCCCCCTCTGTTTTCCACGTGTAGCATATGGGAATGGGAGGCAGGCAGGCACCAGGAACTCTTCCGGCTGCAAGAAGGATGCCGTGTGGGGAGAGAGCAGGACGGGAGGGCACTGCCAGCCTGACAGCTCAGACGGCACTCTCTCCAATCCGAAAAGGCTCAGCTTGCCGTCACTGTTTGTGGCAGTGTCCACATTGTGCCATAGAAAGATTCCCTTGGACGCGAGGCTGAGGAGGGGCAGGGCAAGGGCCCGCCGTGATGGGCCCCCAAGTATTTGCAGCAATTTCGGAGCAAGGCAGTGCTGCAGGCCGTAGCTCAGTGGTAGTGTCTACCCCAGTTACCCCCAAACGCGGCCCTCCAGCTATTTGGGGACTACAATTCCCATCATCCCTGACCACTGGTCCTGGTAGCTAGGGATGATGGGAGTTGTAGTAACAAAACAGCTGGAGGGCCGAGTTTGGGGGTGCCTGGTCTACCCTCTGCATGCGAACGGTCCCACATTCAGTTGCTAGGTCTCTTGCACTAAAAAGGATCTTGCACTAAAAAGAGCTGGGAAAGGATCTCTGCCGGGGGCCTGCCAGTTGTAGCAGATACGAATGAGCTCAGTACAGCAATATTCTGAGTCCGTATATCTGCATGGCAGTGGCTCAGGCTATAAATCATTCCGTGAGCTGATTTTTTCTGGCTCAACATCCATCGCCCAAGCCACAGTGGCTGATTCGTAGATGTTGGGAAACGTACAGTGCAATCCTGTGCAGGTCTACTCAGAAGTAATCACCCACCTACTGAGTCTCGTTAGAATTGCTCCCAGGTAAGTGTGCATAGGATTGCAGCCTTAATCTAGGTCTCATGGCTGCTGTGGAAAAGGTGGAGATCCATGCAGCTGGTTTCTTTCCCGTTAGCAAAACCAGAGAACAACATCTCCCATCTCTCTCCCACCAGGCACATGGCTGGGTTATGCTTCAATATGCTAGACTGGGGCGGGGGCTTTTATTTCTTAGCTTTTTTGAGCCCCCCCTTCTTCTTCCATGACCCTCTGCCCGTGTCTGATGCAGTCTACATGCGCCCGTGCTCTCCATCCCTTGTGTCTTTTTATATATATAAAAACAATAATCAAATTTTGCCAGAGTTTGACTGAAACTCAGAACTTGGCCTGGAGTTGTGCGGGGGGTGGAAAGATGTTGCAGGACGAGCTTGAAATTCACACGGGAATGCTGCTTTGTCAGATTGGCGCTAATAGCACAATTTTGCAACTTGCCTGGCAGCTTACCTCTCCCCCTGACAGGGGAATGAAAGGATGGAACTGTCTGGATCTGCGGTTGGACAGGGGTACTGTCGAATGTCCATGTGGTCTGTTTGTGCCAAAAACGAAAAAAATAAAGCTGTCGGAGAATGTTAACCCTGGCTTCGGATATAGTTTCTTGCCCAGTTCTGTGGGACTCGGAGGGGTTACAAAACACACCTGCTTTGTGAGGGAAGAGCGAAGAAGGGCTGTGAGGATGGAGCTCTGGGGGAAAGCGCATGCAGACAGTGGAAGCTGGTCCACTAGGGCGAGTAACCGCTCCGGTGTGTCTCCTTAACAACAAGAGGTGGAGTTGCCTGTCAGCTTCTTCCTGCTTAGCCTCAGTGTTGCCCTTGTAGAACTCAGCCCGCCATTGGCTCTTGGCTCTGGCACCACCTACCTTTTTAAAAAAATGTTTTTTAATTAATATTTTCCATAAAACAACAAAACTGCAGTTACGAAAGATACAAAACAGAGAAGAAGAAAAAGGAAAGAAAGGGACAACTGAGAGAGAAAAAGAAAGAAGGCATAAGAAAATAAACATTAGCAAAAATTACAGAAGATGAACTTCCATTTTCCCATCTGCCGGTTACATAAAATAATAATAATAATAGAATATTGTTACAGTGGTACCTCAGGTTAGGAACTTAATTCGGTCCAGAGGTCCGTTCTTAACTTGAAACCATCCTTAACCTGAGGTACTATTTCTGGGTTAGCGCAGTCTGTAACCTGAAGCGTCTGTAACACGAGGTACCACTGTATTTAAAACCTTCAGTCGATGCGAACGTCTATCTACTCCACTTTTTGTTAAAACAGTATTTCCTCCGAGTTAAGGTGTCTCAGAATTACCTATGCTCTGGAGCCACCTAATGTTGGCCTTCCTACCTTCTGCCCCAACAGCCCCAATGGGCTCCAACCATAACAGCCCTATCATAGTCTTTGAATTTGAAAGCCACACACGGGAATATTAGAAGAGCCCTAGTGGATCAGGCCAAAGGCCCATCTAGACCAACATCCTGTTCTCATAGTAGCCTCATCCAGATGCCTTCAGGAAGCCCACATAAAGGTAAAGGGACCCCTGACCGTTAGGTCCAGTCGCAGACGACTCTGGGGTTGCGGCGCTCATCTCACTTTACTGGCCGAGGGAGCCAGCGTACAGCTTCCGGGTCATGTGGGCAGCATGACTAAGCCGCTTCTGGCGAACCAGAGCAGCACACGGAAATGCCATTTACTTTCCCGCCTATTTATCTACTTGCAGTTTGATGTGCTTTCAAACTGCTAGTTTGGCAGGAGCAGGGACCGAGCAACAAGAGCTCACCCCGTTGCGGGGATTTGAACTGCCGACCTTCTGATCGGCAAGCCCAAGAGGCTCAGTGGTTTAGACCACAATGCCACCTGCGTCCGCCCCATGCAGGACATGAGGGCAATCGTCCCCTAAATCCGATCCCTGGTGCACAGCCTGTTTATTCAGCACAGAGGGTGGTATTCAATTAAGTTTTCTTCAGAGCCTGCCTAACTTGGTTATGTTCATTGATTGCAGTGAGTGCGCTCTTGGGTGAAACTTTTAAGTTGACAACCACCCATTTACCTTAAATATATTTAATCCCTTGCCACTAAGGAGCTGAGGGCAGCAGTCATGTCTCTCCCTGCACACATTGGAGCCTCTGAACAACCCTGAGAGGTAAGTCATGCTGAGCAATAATGACTGGCCCAAAGTCATCCAGTGAGCTTCATGGCTGAGTGGCATGGATTTGAACCCAGGTCTCCCTAGTTTCTGGTCCCGCGTAACCACTCCCCAACGCCACTGCTCAAATACTTATATACACCTAGTTACAGGTAGGTAGCCATGTTGGTCTGCCGTAGTTGAAACAAAATAAAATAAATAAAATTTTAAAAATCCTTCCAGTAGTACCTTAGAGACCAACTAAGTTAGTTATTGGTATGAGCTTTCGTGTGGTACCTGAAGAAGTGTGCATGCACACGAAAGCTCATACCAATAACTAAGTTGGTCTCTGAGGTGCTACTGGAATTTATTTTATTTTATTTTATTTGTTTTATATACACCTGTGTGTGTTTGAACCCCCACTCCCAGCTGAGAAAAACTACAAACCAAGAAAGAGGCAGGGGGAAAGAGGAAGATTTTAAGGGTCTTGACGAAAGATTTATTTCATGTCCGTCACTTATGTGATCTTGCAGACCAGCTGCTCTGAATCCTGTTTCGTTTTAGGTTTGGGCTTCAAGAAACCCCACCCCATTCCTCCCCAGAGGAGATCCAGACGTCAGCCCCAATTTGGCCTCCCTCCTGGCCGTAGCTCCTGCATCGGTTCTCTTCTTTGTGGATAAGGTTAGCACAGCCTATGCTATAAATAGGCCAAGCCACTTAAGGCAGAACTGGATGCTTCGAGAGAGATCTGCCATCTCTTGCTGGTTACACAGAGTATAAAACAATGTTATGACACTGCAAACAGCCAATGCGGCAAGAGGGCAGACACAGTGCAAATGGCGCCATGGCTAGTAGTAATACCAGAGGTCAAGATGGGCACCTGCTAAGGACTGCAGTCTAGCGATGGGGTGTTTGTGTGAGTGTCTGTGAAACAACAGAGAGCTTCTGCGGCTCTTTGCTGGGAAAGGGGGGGCGACAGGGAGGGCTGTGGTGGTCAGGACTGTGTGAAATAATATCTAAATTCTGTGCAAAACCAGCCCAGACTCTGAACCAAGAGAAGCCGGATTCAGCTTCAGCCTGTCAAAATTATGCAAACTGAAATACATTGCAAAATTCTGTTGTACATTCAAAGCAGGCTCATACCACTTTAAATAGTACACTCTCTCTCTCTCTCTCTCTCTCTCTCTCTCTCTCTCTCACCAATCCTGGGAATTGTAGTTTCAGAAGGGTGCTGACAGTTGTTAGGAGATCCCTATCCCCCTCACAGAGCCTCAGTTTCCAGAGTTCTCTGGGAAGAGGGACTGGCTGTTGAGCCACTCTGAAAATGTAATTCTGAGAGGGCTATGGACCTCCTAACAACACTAAACACCCTTAACAAACTACAGTTCCCAGGATTCTTTGGGGGGAAGCCATGACTGTTTAAAGTGGTATCACCCTGCTTTAAAGATATAGTGCAGATGGGGCCAGAATCCTCCATCTCACACTGAGATATTGCAGGGGGGTGGACTAGATCGGCACGGTTTCTTCCAACTCTACGATTGTATATACGATCTTCCAACACCGTCTATTCTACTGTTAAGCTGCTTGTGCCATCAGGAAATTCTTCCTAGTGTTTAGTCAATATCTCCTTTCTTGGAGTTTGAATCTGTTGGCTCAGGTCTTGCAGTCTGTGTGGAGCAACAGAAAACCAGTTTGCTCCATCCTCTGTGTGACACAGCCTTTCAGAT